TTTTTTTTTTTTTTTGTGAAATTTTTTGTAGGCACGGGCTATTAAAACATTAATCTCTCTCTATGTGTATATATGTAGATTTATCTAATCTGTGCTCTAAATGCTCATGTTTAATGTGTAATTAATATATTTTTTAATATTAATCAGTATAAAAAATAACAAAAGTTGACATTAATTTTATTATCAATGCTACATATATCATTTTAATTGAATGGTTAATTAAATAAATGTCTAGTTTTATTTTTTCAATGATAATTAATGCTAAAAAGCTATTTTTAACTTGTGTTATAAAGGCACATATTAGAGAAACCATATATATATATATATCAATTATTGAAAATGAAAAGATGAATAATTGAGATTTTGTATAAGTATAGTGTGTAAAACTTATGTATAAGCAGACCCTTCCTTTATATATATAATTGAAATTTATTCACTTTTTATCATATTTATCAAAGAAAATAATTTTTTCTATCTAAAAATTTGTGATAAATTTTAATCATGAAACAATCATGGAAAGAAGAGAGATGAATAGTCAAGATTTTAAATAAATATAGTGTATGAACTTGTGTATAAATAGATATTTACTTATTATTATTTTCCAATATGTTTTTCTAGTAAACTTCTATATTCGAAAATCGTATTGAATCTCAATTAATTTAAAATCCAGTTAAATAAGACCTCATAAAGAAAAAATCTCTTAACACATGTTTCTCTATTTATAAGATTTAAATTCAAAATTTTACTTAAAAAAGATTGAGTTACTTTTACTCGAATCAACTAGTGATTAGTATTATTTCTCAATATGATTACATATCTTAGTGGAATTAGTTAAAAAAAGAGTCTCACCGACATGTTAAATTTATTATTTGAATTAATAAAATTATTTTAAATTTAAAAGTTATCACACCATTATAAATTTATAATTAAAAATGCCACCTCACATTCTTAGGCAAAAGCCTAAAAATAGCCCTTTACCTTGATAAGTTAGATGGTTTTAGCCCCTCACCTTATAATATAACGATTTTAGCCCTTAACCTATAAGAATGGAAGAAAATAGCCCTTACTTCTAACTTCCGTCATACGTCTGTCACCGTCTGTCACCTCCGTCACTTTTTCCGTTATATTTCCGTTAACTTTGTCCAGCTTATACCTATAATAAATAAAAAAATGGGAAAGCTTCTCCAAGAAGCCTGATGCTTTGGATTTTTTTGGGAATTCCAACTTTTTTTTTTTTGAGAATTCTAACTTTTTTTTTACGTTTATTTTTAAAGATGGCTGCACATATAGTAATTGTATATAATTTTTACATATTATTAA